CCATTTGGAAGAACAAGGGATTATTATCAAGCCATAACTCCCCAATCAAATAGGGGCCTGAAATTATTACTCTTCTTAAGGCTGTACACCTACCTAAGGACAGAGCTATAATTCACCTCAAAGAACATCAAAGGATAGGACCTTAGGATCTAGGGGAAACAATTTGGTAAACCGTGCAGCCAAGAACGTAGCACAGAATAAACAAATATTAAGTCTAAGAGAAATTGTCCCTATATTTGGACTACCAGTGTCCCTGCAAAGTAACAATGGACTGTCTTTTATTACACAAATTCAAAAGGTGGCCCTCCAAACTGACTAGCCCTTGACATCTTGACTGCAGTTAAAGGGGCCCAGAATTCTATGACTATCTCCTAATGGGACAATGGCTATGTGGCTCTAACTTGTGTTCATGGCTTCCCCCAGGCTGCACAGGCCCCTGTACCCTGGGTTTTGCCTAGAGGCACGGATGCATTATTAAGACCATTATCAACCTGGTTAACCATCCAAAGTGAAAATAATGTTGGACAAGTTCTATGTCTCATTGGTATGAACAACTAACATCCATTTTAGTTCCCTCTATGGGACTGGGGAATGTTGTTCGGCACATGGAAACTCTTAATAAGTACACAAAGCCCTCAGTGACGCTCAAAATAGCATTTCTCTACTAAATACTGAACTAACACAAATGTGTAAAGCAGTTTTACGGAATAGAACATTAGATATTTTAACTGCTACACAAGCTGAAACGTGTGCTGCTATCATAAACACTGAATGCTATGTGTATGTTCCAGATTAACACAAAATATTTCTGGGACTCTGACATGAATACTCAAGGTGTTGCTTTAAAGGTCCCTGGGTTGCTCTGTCGTTAAGTTCTGCTGTTGGCTCAGGTCAGGATCCCAGCATCCTGAGATAGAGTCCCACATCCGGCTCCCTGCTCAGCGGAAAGCCTGCTTCTCCCTCTCCCACTCCCCCTGCTTGTGTTCCCTCTCTTGCTATCTTTCTTTCTGTCAAATAAATAAATAAAATCTTTTAAAAAGTGGGTGCTTTGAACTATCCATCTCTTTCCTTTAATGATTGGTTAAACTCTTGGACTGGAAGAGGATTTTTGTCCGCTACCAAAGGACTTTTTTTTTTTTTTTTTTAAGATTTTTAACCCACCAAGACATCCATTGGTAATTATCTGGGGTCTCATGACTGAGGTTTTCTTAGACGATAACAAAATGACCCTTTCCCAGTAATAGCTAGCCCCTCAGGGTCCTGGAAACCTTGCTTCCAGAATTCCTTAGAGACTTACACTATCCCTAACCCCCTCCCAACTTGGAAGGATATAATGGGTCACTCTTTAATGACCCCAGTGTAGCTCTTTCTGCCCAGGGGTCCTGTCCCTGTGTTTCAATAAAACCAACTTTTTGCACCAAAGATGTCTCAAGAATTCTTTCTTGGCCATCGGCTTCGAACCCTAATGTGTTTCCTACATCAATAATCTATCATCAAAAAATATTTTATTGCTCTCTCACTAGATTAGGTCCTTCTTAGGACTGTAGCAACTTTCACTTCTGCAAAAGGATGTCTTACTCTGTCCTCAGACCCTCCCATCTCCTGAGTTTCTGGAAAGTATCAGAAATGTTTTAGCAAGAGTTATCAAACGAGAGCTAATTTTGTGTGGTCCTCTTTTACTTAGAGACAACTTGCTGAACCCAACACACTCAAAAAAAACAATTGGGAAACACTGTAATGTTAGTAAATTTAAACACATCTTTGCTAATTTTTTTTGCTAATAGTTTTTGTAAATAAAAAGGCTTTTATCTTATAACACAACTTAGGGGCACCTGGGTGGCTTAGTCTGTTAAATGTCTGCCATGTTGGCTCAGGTCATGGTCCTGGAGTCCCAGGACCAAGCCTGGGATCCCGCTCCCTGCTCAGCGGGCGGTCGGCTTCTCTCGCTTCTTCTGCCCCTCCCCCTGCTTCGGCAATCTCTCTCAAATAAGTAAGTGAAATCTTTTTTTTTTTTTTTTAAGATTTTATTTATTTATTTGAAAGACAGAGATCACAAGTAGGCAGAGAGGCTGGCAGAGAGAAAGAGGGGGAAACAGGCTCTCTGCTGAGCCTGATGTGGGGCTCGATCCCAGGACCCTGAGATCATGACCTGAGCCGAAGGCAGAGGCTTAACCCATTGAGCCACCCAGGCGCCCGAATTTATAGACATTCTTAACTGTCTACTCTAGTTGCCCAAATTGGTCCTCATTGTAAAACCAATCAACGAAATCACACTTTGTTTCTGCCAGAAACATTACTTTTTTTCAATGCAAATCCCTGAGAAAAACAACAGGAGCCAAAATTGCTTGTATCCAAAACTGTACTTCACTCTGAACAGAAATCTGTGCAAGATAAGAAACCCAGGAGTGTAGGATGGATTTAACGTGCCCTTTTTTTTTTTAATTTATTTATTTAACAGAAATCACAAATAGGCAGAGAGAAAGAGAGAGAGAGAGAGAGAGGAGGAAGCAGGCTCCCTGCTGAGCAGAGAGCCTGATGTGGAACTCCATCCCAGGACCCTGAGATCATGACCTGGGTCGAAGGCAGGGGCTTAACCCACTGAGCCACCCAGGCATCCTGACGTTCCTGGTTTTAAAGATTTTTATTTATTTATTTGACAGAGAGATCACAAGTAGGCAGAGAGAGAGGAAGCAGGCTCCCCGCCGAGCAGAGAGCCCGATGCGGGGCTCGATTCCAGGACCCTGGGACCACGACCTGAGCCGAAGGCAGAGGCTTTAACTCACTGAGCCACCCAGGCGCCCCAACGTTCCTTGTTTTAAGAGACTTCCGAGATGCCTCATTTTCAAACAAGGAGCCCTGGTAGCACCCAGCTGTCTCAGTTAGTGGTGTATATGACTTTTGATCTCAGGGTAGAGATTACTTAAAAATAAAATTAAAAAGAAAAGTCTTTAATTAAAAAAAAAAAAACCAAAAAACAAAGGTGCCCAGACTGGTTCCCCCGCCCCCGCCCCCGCCGCCCCCGTCTTTTCCACACCCAGCCCGCTCCATTGTAATTCAGAGTGGCTGGAGATGGGCCTTTCTTCTGTAAAGTGAGCTTTGGTGTGGGGGTGGGGAATCTCCGGAGAGGAGACTGCAGTCCCAGAATGAGGGAATGGGCGTTCAGGTTCTTTGGAGCCTCCCCTCCCTTGCTGTCTCAGTCTGGGCGCTGGGGGACTGCTTGGAGGACGTGCACTCACTTGGATTCTCCCCCAAACCTGCTGTTCATCCATCGTCACTGTTTTAGTAAACGGCCCAGCATCCGCCAGGTGTTCAGCCAAGAACCTGTGGGTCAGCTTTGGTATTTCTCTTTTCCCCTCCCCCAACACTCCTTAAAGCCCATCCATCATGTCCCATCACTTTTTTCCCAAACTGAATCCCAGATTTTCTCACTTCTCACCTTGACTTCTGCTGCCCAAGTCCGGGCCACCATCACCCTTGCCTGCAAGATTGCAAGATCCTCTCAACTGTTTCCCTTTCTCCTGCCTCCCATCCTGCTAGTCTTCCTCCAGATGTAGCCAGGGCTCCTGTCTCTCCCTTATGTAAAATTTTCCATTGTTTTCCTTTGCACTTAGCATAAATTTTGAATAATATTACTTATTAGGGTGACCAGTTTGTCTTGGGCCGAACCGGATAATTGATCACTCACAAGGCTTAGCTCAGTGGGTTCTGTCTCTGACAGCCTCTGTCACTGCTTCTTACAAGATTTTCCTGCCACCTATGTCTCCTCCCCCATTCCCTAAACTTCCCTCTTTGGTTTATTTGACTCCAATCACGTGGGCACTTTGTTGTTCTTGAGAGGCCCAGGTGTCTCAGGACCTTTACACTTGCTATTCCCCCGTCGTGGAGCTCTTTTGCTCTTGGCTTGCTCTTGCATATTGGCTTCGGCTCAATGTTCCCTCCTTCAGGAGTCCTTGGATCACTCCAGCTTTTACCATGATTGTCAGGCCCCCACGCCTTCCTACTTATTCATTGTGGAATTTGAGGCTCTCTGTGCTTCACTTCCCACAAAATAGAGACGGGCGTTATCCTCAAAGGGCTGGAATGGCGGACATAGTAAGATACCCCTTGCTCGGGCCTCAAATCGCTGCTGAAACAAAGTAAAGTCTTCATAGCAACGGTGATTATCGCCCTGTCCTGTTTTCTTCCTAGCTCTTGTCAATATTTGATCCAATTACATTTATATACTTACTAATTTCACGTTTATTGTCTGCCTTTAACTAGAATGTTGAGTTGCATCCTGGTGAAGATCAGGTTTACCTCCTCCAGTGCCTAGAATGGTTGCCTGGCACATATCAAAAGCTCAAGACGTGTTAAATGTGAATGAAGCTTGATGTTTGCTCACAATGGGAGTGTACCTAATGCTACCCAGTTGTACACTTAAAAATGGCTAAAATGATGTATTTTACCAAATAAGAAAATGTATAGTGCGGTGCTTGGGTGGCTCAGTCGATAAGCATCTGGCTTTGGCTTGGGTCATAATCCCGGGGTCCTGGGCTTGAGCCACGCGTCGGGCTTCCTGCTCAGCGGGAAGTCTGCTTCTCCCTCTCCCTCTGCCCCCATTTTTGTTCCCTCTCTGTGTTTCTCTGTCCAAATAAGTAAAAATTAAAAAAAATAGAAAATGTACACTAATGCCACGTAATACATACTTGATAGCTTTGATGGTTACAAAAAAAGAAAATGGAATGACAAAGCATCCCAGGAATGGTTAGCCCCTCCGAGAGGGGGACAGTTTGGGATTGCAGGTTTCAGGGACTTTTTTTTTTTTTTTTTAATTAACATAACACTCCTCCTTTTCATTTGTTCATCAGCATGCGTGCCCTCCTGGGGAGGTGAGCGGGAGGTGGGGACAGGAAATCCCAGGAGTCTTGCCTCCGAGGTTGAATTCTCCTAAAAGAACTTGGCTTTCTTCTTCCTCCTAGTGCTTTTGGAACCCCTCAGCCTGTCACTCACCGGTTTCGTCACTCTTCGATGGACAGAGTTTTTGCAGCCGAACGTGCCACTTACCGGCCGCTGGATCTCAGGTAAGTTCCTCTGCTGCTGTTTTTCCCTTTTAAATGTTAACAACAATAAGAAAAGCTCCCTTCCAGGATTGGTGTGAGGGCTGAGCACGATAAAGTATGCGAAAAGCTTAGAGAAGTCCCCACCTTCTTCATCGTTAGTGTTACGGAAATGTTTGCTGTTAATATTTTTATTATCCATCCAGATACTTAAGCCAAAAATCTAGGAGTTGTTCATACCCTTTCCGCCATTTCCAGTGTTCAGAATGGATCTTGGAACCATTCATTTTTCTTCTAAATATTCTCAAGTTTTGCCTTTCCTACTCGTCTTTATCCCGTTCAGAGACATATCCAATGTGTCTTCGTTTCCATGTGGTCTACCAGTTGTTCCAGCGCTATTTACTCCTAGTCAACCTCTTCCCTGTTGGTCTTCCTGGAGAGTGCTGTGATGTAAAAGTTTCTGTACGTGCAGGGGTCTGTTTTGGAGTCTGTTCCATTGGCCAGTGGTTAATGATTTTCCTTCCTCCTCATTCCTTATGGGCACTGCATCAGCAAGTCCGTGATACCTTCAAAACACATTTCAAATCTGTTTCTTTGTGCATTGCCACCCTGCCATCATTTCTCAGAAACAATCGCAATGGCTCCGATCTTACTGCCTACCTGCCCCTTTTTCCGGTGGAACTCCCCTATCTCTAGCCATTTTCCTTAGTGATGTAGGAAAGATGTTGGGGTTTGAAGCCCACGGCCAGGAAAGAATTCTTGAGATATTTTTGGTGCGAAAAGGCGGTTTTGTTAAAGCACAGGGACAGGACCCGTGGGCAGAAAGAGCTGTACTGAGGTCAGGAGGAGTGGCCCATTGTATCCTTACAAGTTAGGAGGGGGTTAGGGATAGTGTAAGTCTCTAAGGAATTTTGGAAGCGAGGTTTCCAGGACCTTGAGGGGGCCAGCTATGTTGAGAAAGGGTCATTTTGTTATCGTCTAAGAAAATCTTAGTCATGAGACCCTTCTTGTGCATATGGGTGGGTTCTATACTTGGGGGGAATGATTGCCAAGGTAAATCTTGGGGGAGGGTAGAGATGAAGGAAGATTCTAAAAGAAGTTTTTCTATGTTCAAGTAAACTTACAGGGTCCTGGGGGTAGGGCTAAGATTTCCTTTTGCCCTTAGAAAAGTATCAGTATCAGGCATTGAGTCTCTAGAGGAAAGTCACACTGCCTGCTTCAAGGACTTGTCAATGGGCAGTAAGGGAATTTAATAATTTTTCTTCTGCCTTTGTTTCCCACATCGCTTAGTGCAATCCAGGAGACCACATTCTTCTTTAAAATGACATAATGTTTGATATGTACAAAAATACAGAAGGATGCCGGTGAAGGTTAAGAAGCATGACCACAGAACAGTCTGTGAGCCCACCTCACCACCTAGGAAATGGAAGAGTAGTAAATTCTTTGATGTCCTGAATGACCTCAACACTACCTGGGACCTTGTTCTTTAAAAAAAAAAAAAAAAAAAAAAGGTTCTTTTAAAACTATTCCTTTGCTTTCTTTTATCTATCTGTCTATCATCATTAATCAAGTAATCTCTACACCCAATGTTGGGCTTGAAGTCATAACCCCGAGATCAAGAGTTGGTTGCTCTTATGACTGACCCAGCCAGGCTCCCCACCCATGCTTTCTTCTATAGTTTTACTACATGTATATATATTCCTAAGCAATTTATTATCTGTTTTTGCTTGTAAATTTTACAAAAATAGTGTCCCATTGTGAATACTCCTCTGAGAATTGGTTGACTTGTTTACTAGTACTGATAACTAAGATCCATTTGTGTTGGTGGATGTAGCTACTGGACAGTCATTTCTTTTCTTTCTTTCTTTCTTTCTTTCTTTCTTTTTTTTTTAAGATTTTATTTATTTGTCAGACAGAGAGAGTACAGGCAGGCAGAGGCAGAGGGAGAAGCAGGTTCCTGAGGAGCTAGGAGCCCAATGCGGGACTCGATCCCAGGACGGTGGGATCATGACCTGAGCCGAAGGCAGCCGCTCAACCAGCTGAGCCACCCAGGTGTCCCTGGACAGTCATTTCTGTTGCTACTTAGTAATCCAACGTAGGATCCATTATTTGCTGCTAATAGGCATTTGATTGCTACTTTGCTTTTCTGTCTTATTCCTGTTACGAACGATGCTTGTGCGTGTCTCCTGGTGCACTCCCATAGGGGTTTCTTCTAAGTACTGGCCTTCATCCCCCACATCCCCATTCCTCTCTGTGCTTTGTCAGGACCCAGTACACTAGACACATACATTTATCCTGCTTTTAGTGGTGCAACTTGGCATTTTCTATACTATTCTATTTCATTAAAAAAATTTTTTTTTTATTTTGGGGCGCCTGGGTGGCTCAGTGGGTTAAAGCCTCTGCCTTCTGCTCAGGTCATGATCCCAGGGTCCTGGAATCAAGCCCCACATAGGGATCTCTGCTCAGCAGGGAGCCTGTTTCCTCCTCTTTTGCTCTGCCTGCTTCTCTGCCTACTTGTGATCTCTGTCTGTCAAATAAATAACATCTTTAAAAAAAAATTTTTTTTTATTTTTTAAAAAGATTTTATTTATTTATTTGATTTGACACAGAAAGAGAGATCACAAGTAGGCAGAGAGGCAGGCAGAGAGAGAGAGGGAAACAGCTTCCTGCCAAGCAGAGAGCCCAATGCGGGGCTGGATCCCAGGACCCTGGGATCATGACCTGAGCCGAAGCAGAGGCTTTAACCCGCTGAGCCACCCAGGTGCCCCTCTATTTCATTTTTTTAAAAAAGATTTTGTTTATTTAAGAGCAAGAATGAGAGCATGAGCAGGGGAGAGACAGAGGGAGAGGGAGAAGCAGACTCCTGCTGAGCAGGGAGCCCAACGCAGGACTCGATCCCAGGACTCTGGGTTACTGACTCGAGCCAAAGGCAGATGATTAACCTACTGAACCACCCAGGTGCCTCTGTTCTAGTTCATTTTTAAAACAGAAGTTGAGGGATGCTGGCTCTGTCAGGTTTAAGCGTCTGACTTCCACTCAAGTTACGATCTAGGAGTCCCGGGATCCAGCCCCTCATGGGGCTCCCTGCTAAGCTTCTCCCTCTGCCACTCACCCTGTTCCTGTTCTCTCTCTCTCTGTGTCTCTCAAATAAACAAATAATTTTTTTTATTTTTTTATTTTTTTTATTTACACAGGTCACAAGTAGCCAGAGAGGCAGGCAGAGAGAGAGAGGAGGAAGCAGACTCCCTGGCAGAGACCCCCATGTGGGGCTGTGGGGCTCGATCCCAGGATCCTAGGATCATGACCTGAGCCGAAGGCAGAGGCTTTAACTCACTGAGCCACCCAGGCGCCCCTAAATACATAAAATCTTAAAAAAATAAATAGAGGGGCGCATGGGTGTCTCAGTGGGTTAAGCCTCTGCCTTCGGCTCAGGTCATGGTCTCAGGGTCCTGGGATCGAGCCCCGCATCGGGCTCTCTGCTCAGCGGGGAGCCTGCTTCCCTTCCTCTCTCTCTCTGCCTGCCTCTCTGCGTACTTGTGATCGCTGTCAAATAAATAAATAAAATCTTAAAAAAAAAATAAATAGAAAAGAAGATGATCCAGGGCGCCTGACTGACAACATCTGCAGAGCATGTGACTCTTGATCTCTGGGTTGTGAGTTGGGTCATGAGTTTGAGCCCCATGTTGGGCCTAGAGCTTACTTGAAATCAGGCAAGCAAGCAGGAGGATGGAGAGCATTTCGTTCTGAATGCCTAAAAAGATTTTTTTTTTAAATTTTAAAAAGCTGTTGATCTGCAAAATGATTAAATGACCAACCAATCCACAGTGTGGAAAATCCCCTAGTCTAGGGGAGCCTGGCTGGCGCAGTCACTAGAGCATACAACTCTTGATCTCGGGGTTTGGGGTTCAGGTCCCACGTTGGGAGTACAGCTTACCTAAGAAAAAAAAAGAAAGGAAGAAAAAGAAAAACCTGTGGTCGATTTTGGGTATGTACCTAGAGAGAGATGCTGGGTCAGGGAGCGTGAGCATAGTCAACTTTATCAGAACAAATTGCTCTCCTAAGTAGCTAAAATAATTGACCCCTCACCAGCCCCATACTAGAATTAAACATGGTAGTTTTATTTTATTTTTTTAGATTTTTATTTATTTATTTGACAGACAGATTGTAAGTTGGAAGAGAGGCAGGTGGTAGGGGCGGGGAAGCAGGCTCCCTGCTGATGCGGGGCTGGATCCCAGGACCCTGAGACCATGACCTGAGCTGAAGGCAGAGGCTTTAACCCACTGAGCCACCCAGGCACCCCTATAGTTCGTACTTTTTGAATTAAAAAAAAAAAAATTCTCTCTTCTGAACTCATAAAGATAGCCTCCAAAATTTTCTGCTTAACAAATTTTGAAAATTTAAATCTTTAGTCACCAAGAACTTGGGCAGTTTTTCTTTATTGCCCCTAGTAGTCCTATTTTTTCTTACAGATTTTAAAATGTATTTGAAAGAGAGTGCAGGGGGATGGGGCAGGAGGGGGGAGAAAATCCCAAGTGGACATGGGGCTTAATCCCATGACCCCAAGATCAGGAATAGGGCTGAAACCAAGAGTCGGATGCTCAACTGAGTCAGCCCCCAGGCACTCATGGTAGTTCTATTTTCAATTTTCTTTCCTTTTTTTTAGAGATTATTTATTTGACAGCCAGAGATCACAAGGAGGCAGAGAGGCAGGCAGAGAGAGAGAGAGAGAGGAGGAAGCAGGCTCCTTGCTGAGTGAGGCTCAGTCCCAGGACCCTGGGATCATGACCTGAGCTGAAGGCAGACACTTAACCACTGAGCCACCCAGGCACCCCCAAACCAACTGTTTTTAAAACTTAATCATGTATTGACATATTAAAGTATCTCACAGGTTTGATTCACTTATTTTATTTATAAAGGTATTTTTACCTTCAAGTTAAAAAAAAATCAAGTAATACTTACCCAATATAGAAAATCAGAATAAAGAGCAGCAGACAGAGAGGGAGAAGCAGGCTTCCTGCTAAGCA